TATTGTTAGTAGGCGTGTTAAGGGCGATCGTCGCATGGGGCAAAAGTGATAGGGAATAGGTCGTCACACGAGACAAGCGAAGAAGCAAGGGATTCGGGGTCATGAATTCGTGGATCTGTAATTCGGCAACAGAGTAGAAAAAAGTCGCTGATGCATCCCTAAAAAATGAACAGGGGATAAAAGAGGTTTAGTACCGTAAGATACAAAAGAAGTGAATATGTTTCGAACCAGCGCAGAAGCAACGCATCGCGAGTTTGATCTCCAAGCCGCCCTGTCATCTACAGTAGAAGAATTGAAACCCCAACACCCTCATAACATGTACTGTGATTTGCTTATGCAAGATCGCAGCACCAGATACCCTCGTGGTTCTTGCATCCGATCTTGGAGTAGTTGTCGGAAGTGAGGATCTCAGCGTGGCCGGTCTGGCCCTCGTAGCTCCAGCCCTTGGACATAGTGCTGCAGACACCGTCAAGACCGGGGAGAGTGGGGATCTCGCAGAGCCAGCCACCGACGAAAACGGAGAGGAAGGACTCCATGTCGGGCTTGCCGGGGGCGAGGACCTGACCGTAAGTTCCAGGGTTGAGCTTGTGCTTCATGACACCGTTGCCCTCAACGACAACGTTCATGGCGTTGGACTCGAGCTTGGAGTCGCACTCGAGGGGCTTCATGCCCATCTTAGCGCGCCACTCAGAGACGATGTCCATGTAGCCACCGGTGGTAGCAGTGGCAGAGGGAGCAGGGGCAGCCTCAGTGGTGGTTGGCTTGGGGGCCTCGCTGGAAGGAGCAGGAGGAGCAGCCTCGTAGCTGGTGGGCTCGGGGGCAGGAGTGTAGGCAGCCTCAGTGGTGGTGGGCTTGGGGGCCTCGCTGGTGGGCGCTGGGGGAGGAGGAGCTACGTAGACAGCAGAGCTGCTGGGCTTAGCTGGCGCGTAGACCATGGTGTTCTTGGCCGGGGCCTCGTAGACAGCGCTGACGGAGGTAGGCTTGGGGACTTCGTAGCCCTCGGTGACGTAGACCGTCTTGACGACAGTTGCGACGACATCGACAACATGCTTGACGTGCTTGTGCTCGTGGCCGTATCCACCGTAGGATGGGGCGGCGAGCGCAGAGCCCGCGAGGGCGGCGACGGAGAGAGCGATGGTGGTGCGCATTTTGATGGAGATTGGTTTGGATTTGGTGATTGAAGAGACTGGACTTGAGTTGACTGGTAAGGTTCGACTGTCGAATTGTTTTTTGTTTAGGGATGCGAAGTGAGCGTGTTAGTGCCGAAGGGCGGTAGAGAACGTGGTGTCAAAGATTGACGGTGTAGAGAGTGAATGACTGGATGTCGATACCTGGAAGTCGCAGACCTGGGGTAGAAGAGGAAGACAGAGGGGATAAACTACATTTATACGAAGTAACGCTAAGTAGGAAACGGGCGTTGTGCAGCTGACATGGGCCAGGAAATTAAACGCGAGCGCCATTACACGTCCGCCCACGGCGCCCCGTCCTCCGCAGATTTACCTGTGCCTGGAGCTAGAGCTTCTGAAGCCAATTCTCGTCCCAACCAAGCCCTTGGTAGACCGCTCGGATCCTTTCATTTCGTTCCCTGCACAGTGACCGTCACCGTAGGCCAGGGTTTTGGAGTCCGAGAGGCCTACACATGTGCATTGGCTGAGGGGCGGGGAATGCGATATCTGCGTCTGCCGCTATCCTGCGTTCAAACTCTTTGTGCTTCAATCTAATCTCGCGCGGCAAACAATGTTCCTTTGTGTCTGGTTTGTTTGTCGATGTCGAGCACTCTGGCGCTTCGATGCGGATTTGGTTGGTACGGTCCAGACGTGACAAGTGTCAGGGGTAACCACAGACGATCATTGGGCTTGCGCAGGGGACAGGTCATCAAACGCCCACTTCGGAAAATTAAGCGGAAGGCTAACTTGAGAGCGGCAAAACGTAGAGATATCTCAAAGTGCGCGCTTGTCCTATTGGCTGTTATTGTCGTTCGGACAGGGCAGCGTTTCAGATGTTTTTCTTAGTCTGTGGGACATTTTGGGCTGACCCGGCCCTGGAGCAAACCTTTTGTGAACGTAGCTGCACAAACTTCAGCCCGCCGTAGTTTCAGCCCAGGTGCCGCACAGCACCTGCTTGATCCGTTCCTTCGTACCGCAGACGGCGATTTCGTCTTCGCGTCCGTGCGGTAATCATCGCTGTATGATTGAAGAGTCGAGACTCTGTAAGGCGGTTCGTACAAGTGGAGCCTTGGAAGGATTTCTCAACGGGAGAGCCTCATCGTGAAACGGCGAATCGAGGGATATTTGGAGATCCCGTTTGTGTCGCGCCAGCGCGATGAGTGAGGCAGAGGGGAAGCCTGCATTCTTCCCGCCATCGCGACATCCTTCCGCTGCTGCAGTCGATCGTGTAACGGTCAGAGTCAGCGCCTCGTGACACTCTCGCTCCACTTCACCTCTGGCGTCACCATCGATCTTCCGCGTGGATGCCGTGGATGCTCGCCACGTGTTAGCGCACTTGACAACGAGTGACCGAGATCTGTCGACGTGGATCCGACACCGCAAGGTACAGCGAGTCCGAAGACGGTGCCTGAGCCGCGCACCAGGTAATCACCTGTGTGCCGAGATGTGATGAGATGGAAATTCAACGTCATCTCTCGACCTCAGGCATGCGACACCGCTGGGATGTCGTAAAATTAATCGTTGTAGTAATGAGGGGTCGTGGCAGGGAGCCCCAGTGCTGTTTAATCTTCGTCCCGCTGTGGCACCAGATCGTTTCTTTGAACCTCATCTCACTCAAGATGAAGCACCGAGTGCCTGCCGTGCCTCAGGCTTCCAGAGGAAGTGAAACGTGAGTGTTTGGTCTGGATGCGCTCGAGGTTTGTCATGTCGTGTCGAAATGTGCCCGGCGGCAAGTACATGTCTTGCGTGGCCACATAGCAATCTCGCGGAGTCGGCTCACTTCCTGATTGCTGATTACTACCGCAGACCCACAGCATCTGCAGCGTCTGTTATACCCGACCCGCCCGCCATCAAGTTTTCATGACCAACGGCTGAAGTGCGGTAGGTGGTTTCTTTTCGGCACTCAACCGCATGCTAGTCTGCAGAACTCTTCAACCATACCTCAAACTACCTCATTAGTCCGCCGCGACGCTCTTCAACAACGACACTACTGATAGGCCGAGATCCAGCGAGGTGTTCTCTCGCGCGTATGCACGATGCTGACGCATGCGTCGGTGATCATCGAACTCCTTCTTCGTACCTGAAACGTGGAGATAATGTTCCTATCGATTAGATAGCTGGCCGCGTGGCGCGAGCTTGTCGATTCGACTGAGCGGAAGCAGAGTCCGCGGCCGCAGTCTATCGGAACTTCCTCGTGGCTTCTGTCAACTGGGGCCGGCCGTTGGAGCAGGATTCTTTAGTTCGGTGCCGTTGTAACCGTCAGGTACCATCGCGCCGACTCTCACATGCAGCCCGTAGCCCCGATGGCAGACTGCATCAACCATGAAAAACCTGCAGTAGCTTAGAACAGGCACGTGAAAACTTCTTCCCACCATCTGTCTGGGCTGTCTTAGTGTTTGACAGCCACCAGTCGGCGGTTCGGTAGTTTGCAGGACAGTCACAACGTCATCTGACAGCTCCTTCACCTTGCTCGTGCTTCTCTGCCAAGTGGGAAGTTGGCAAGAGGTCCATATGACTGGTGAGGCAAAAGCACACGGCACAGATAACGAAGAAGAAAAAGCGATAGGTCTCCTTTGGATAAGTGATAATTTGGCATTGCAAGTCAGCCCTCGCCTCAGAAACGTAGGCGATGCCCAATCCAGTTGGCGGCTCGGCAAGAAACATAAAGAATGTTCACTGAGTCCTTCACAGCCTGCCCGAGTGACGAATGACATTGAACCTGATGCGCCGTGGCATCGAGCTCGAAACACTGGGTGTTTATGTCGAAAATCGCAGGCGGCTTTACACGAACACCTCTGGATGGCCTTCACTTCCAAGGTTGGGTGTATCGCAGTCTGCTTCTTCCATGCAGGTGGTTACTCGATGATCGATCACTTCATCGTCATCGTACTTCACAATCCTACACTAACACCTGCGCACACTCTAGTCCATGTCACTACTAGCGGTCGGCTTCGAGGCTTTGCTGTCTGGTAATTAGCCGATGACCGATTGGTGCGCATATGTTGTACCTTGCAGTCGCATCGACTATCCTAAGCTCTACCAAATCCGTCCATATGACTGCATATTCGCGTAGATGCGAGATAACAGCAAAAGCCATTGATAGCAATTATGCGTGTAAGCATAGCCACGACGCATTCTGACGAACATTTGCGAAGGGTGAACCCTGGAGTAGGGCAGCCTTTCGCGACACCAAAAGCCTTGGAGCTTACACCAAGCACCTATCTCAAAGGAACCGCTAAGGAAAAAGCAAAGACCGAAACTGTGTTCCATCCGAGCCTAGACATTTCCTTACATCATTTCTAGGGCGCTGAGTTATGCGCCGCCCAATTAGGCAATCCGACCAACCAGAACCCATACCCCCGTCCCCACAGACAGCGTTGAAAACACACAGCAAAGCGAAAAATCTGCAGTTACCGCCGGAAGTCTCGGGAGGGCTTTCGTTCTGCCCTGAATGTCTCAGTGTATGATTGGTGTACCTGTGTAGGCCTGTTGCGCTTGGGAGGCCATCCTTTGTTCGGTAACCTACGTTGCAGTCAGACTGAGCTGGACTACGCTGGGGGGCCCACTCCGTATCCCTACATTCTTAAAGTCAACGTCCACGCTCTTTTTTGTGAATCTTGAACTACACACTCTCTTTGTCACATCACAGCGAGGCTTCGACAGCTTCATCACATTCCTTCCAAAACTTCCCTCTCTTGTTCAATTGACGGTCTGGACCTACACTCTTTCTTCCTCAATCAACACACGGTCTTTTTAAAAGCAGCTTCGCCACGCTCCTGTGTCGTCATCATACAGTATCACAAATCTTTGTTACAGACCCTCTCAACGAACAATATGCTTTCCAAGCTTACCTTTGCCATCGTGGCACTTCAAGCCAGCCTTACCCTAGCTGGCAAAGCCGTCATCACCAACCGCTGCGACTACGACGTCTGGGTCTGGTCAATCTCTACTGGCCATGCCTCCTCATCCTTCATGGTCCCTGCAGGAAGCTCCCACAGCGAGGCCTACACTGGAAGTAGCACTTCCCTCAAAGTCAGCAAGTCCGACGCTTTGGTCGCCGGCAAGCACTCACAGTTTGAGTACTCCATCGCGGCTGGCCAGCTCTGGTACGACATCTCCTTTGTCGACTGTGCCAATGGCGAGTCTGCGTCAAACTGCCCTGGACACGACGAAGGCCTGGCCATGAACGCCAGCAACGACAGCTGCGGCAAGATCGATTGCCCCGCTGGAGACTACTGCCCTACGCAGGCCTACTACGTCGACACGCCTCTGCAAAAGCTGGGTATCGCCGAGCCAGTTTTCATGTGCCCCTTGTCTCTGGGCACCAACGTTGATCTGTCCATGACAGTCTGCTCCGGAAACCCCAAGATCAAGAGGAGCATCGCTGGCCGTATCCAGATCGATGGCGAGGCTTAGAGAGTCTCGATGGTGCGCATTTGCGATTACTTCTCCAGCTCTCTTACCATTACTTCTTTCGTTCTTTATACATACACTAGGGTGGACTACGGTTGGGATATACCTGGGTTACGATTTGGTTACGATTTTGGATGATTCAATGAAACGTTATGCTTTTCCAACTCTTGAATTCATGTGCTGTTACCGATTGTGACTACGTAGGCACCCTGTCGGTCCTCTGACCAAAGCCTGCCGCCATACTCCTCGGCGTGATTGAAGGAATTCGGCGTTGCTGAGACGCTGTCGCAATCGTGGCAGGCTTACGTCGCACGACACAAGGTGCGATTTTGGCCGGATTCTGCCAGGTGGTACGTTGCCTCTAGGCCATCGCCATTTGGGTAAGCGCATCCCAAAGTCTGTTAGCGCGGAGCACACGTCATCCTGACCACGTCCTCCTGTGCAGTCACACCGATACTCCAAGCATGCGAAGGATAAAAATGCACAGAGCAGCTAAACTGACGATTGTAGCGAGGTATGAAGTTAGGGCAGAACGGAATGTCTGTCCCGCCGTGGATCTGCAGTACGCGCCGCCCGGCGACGGACCCGCATGTTTGGGTGTGGAGGAAGACTGGTACCCATGCGCTTCGCCAAACATTCCTAGACTCGGTCTGCCACTCAACTCCAGAAGATGATCTTGCAGTACAGTACAGTACCTGATACACCCGCGCAGCCCTGTGCGACTCGTCTGCGCTTAGTCGACGATCCATTCCGAGCTACCCCACACCTGTCCCGAGCGGGTAGATCTATCCAAATTCGTCTTCATCATACAATTGCTTACTATTCAGGCGACAAAGGGGGCTCTATAAAACCAACGGGTGAATTCTTCCGGCACCCACCTGACATCTAGAGTCAACAGCAGGTATTGCGGGGTGTAGTCTACTCAGTCGGGATCGAGTAATCATGTCGTGAATCTACTCAAGTGACTGTGGGGTGGGGAAGCCTTGTGTGAGGGGTTGCCGCGGCTAGATCAACATGTTTATTCTTCAAGTCCTACTATACGATTGCCCATTCCTCAAATCTCCTGGGTAATCCAGAAGCTTGGTTTAGAGCCACAACACCTTACTTCGACCAAAAATAAGCATAATGACAACTCAAGGACCCATCGCTGCAGCTCCGATAGCTGAGGTACCTCTCCCAGACCCAGATGTTGCCAAGTCAACCGTCGACATCAAGACTGGAGAGTTAGCTCACGAGAACGACTTGACCTTTGATCCGGCAGCACTCCAAGCGAAGTATCTCCAGGAGCGTGACCGACGTTTAGCACGAGATGAAGGCGTAGAGCAATACACACTCCTTGATGGTAGCTTGGCACACTATCTAGAAGATCCATGGGTCGAGCCAGGATTCAAACGTGACCCAATCGAAGAAGAGACCGAGGTGGTGATCATCGGCGGCGGGTATGGCGCTCAGGTCTGCGCTGTGAGACTAATTGAGGCTGGTATAAACGACTTCAAGATTATCGAAAAAGCTGGTGACTTTGGGGGAACATGGGGAGTTTCGCTGTTCTACATATAGGACTTATGTGCTGACATCCACGCAGGTATTGGAACAGGTATCCTGGAGCGCAGTGCGATATCGAATCCTACATCTACATGCCCCTGCTCGAGGAAGTCGGATACATGCCGACAGAGAAATATGCGCGTGCCAAAGAGTTGCTTAAACATTCACGCATGATTGGCGAGAAATACGATCTCTACTCGCGTGCCTTATTCCAGACCGAAAGCAAAGAGATGCGATGGAACGAAGAAGAGGGGAAATGGACTACTCACACGGCGCGAGGCGATAAGATCAAATCGAGATTTGTGATTCCTGCTGCGGGCCCTCTTCATCGGCCAAAGTTTCCTGGCTTAAAAGGTATCGAAGATTTCAAGGGCCATTCTTTCCACTCTTCGCGATGGGATTATACTTACACGGGGGGCGATTCCTCGGGTAACTTGCACAAGCTAAAAGACAAGCGCGTAGCTATCATCGGTACAGGTGCGACAGCCGTTCAGATAGTGCCTCATTTGGGAGAGTGGGCAAAGAAACTTTACGTCTTCCAGCGCACCCCTTCGTCGATTGACGTTCGTGGTAATCGCCCGACTGACGAGGCATGGGCACAGTCGCTCCAGAAGGGATGGCAGAAGAAGCGCATGGACAATTTCGACAACATCGTCAACGGTGGTTACGAAGAAGTGGATATGGTATCAGATCGTTGGACAGATATCATTCGGTCCTTGCTGACCGCTGGCATCGACCCGAACAACCCGGTGGAAGCTGCAGCCAAACGTCAGATCGCTGATTTCAAGAAAATGAATGCTATCCGCGCTCGAACGGATGAGATCGTGAAGAACAAGGAGACGGCTGATGCGTTAAAGCCATGGTACAACCAATTCTGCAAGCGTCCCTGCTTCCATGACGAATACCTACCCACCTTCAATCGCCCCAACGTCGAACTCGTTGACACCAAAGGTCAAGGTGTTGACCGCATTACTCCTAACGGCATTATGGCAAACGGGCAAGAATACGAAATCGATTGCCTAGTGTACGCCACTGGCTTCGAACTCGCAAACGAATGGTCGCACAAGACCGGCATCGAGATCTATGGCCGCGACAATACAACCATCACCGAGAAGTGGGCCGAAGGCGCTCAAACACTTCATGCTTGGGGAACACGGAACTTCCCAAACTGCTTGTTCGTTCAGATCGTTCAAGGGGCCCTGACACCGAACTTCATGCACGTCACCAACGAACAAGCGATCCACTATGCGTACATCATATCTGAATGTAAGAAACGTGGGTTCAGGACTATAGAGCCGACAAAGGAAGCGGAGGAAGGGTGGACACAGACGATCGTTGATGGAACTGCTATCCGGGGCGACTTTCTGAAGGAGTGCACGCCAGGGTATTACAACAATGAGGGCAAGGCGAGCGAGAGTGCTAAGAGGAATGCGACCTATGGGTATGGAAGCCCGGCCTTCATCAAAATCTTGACTGATTGGAGGGAGGAGGGCGGGATGAAGGGCGTGGATGCTACGTACGCCAAGGAGTAGGCGGTACTTGCACTCATCGGGATTCGTATATAAATCGTTCTTCTGGATACGTTCTGATACTCATCAATCTTACCCTTTCATATTCAAAAACAACTGATACGATGGGATGAGACCACGACCTTTAAAATCACAACCATGATCTAATTATCAGAATCTTTCGCCCGTTGATCGAAAAGCGAGATCAAACGAGGCATGATCAGCCTGCTGGCGACGCAGGACAATTCCTGGAGTCTATGAACCTTCAAAACACAATGCATTCTCCTCACTCGACATCAAAATAGCCGTCATCCACCCCGATAGCATGAGAGAGCGTGCGAAAAGTCAAACGAACATCGTCGTACCGCAAGAGATACACCAGACTTTCTATGGCATGCTATTACGACTTCTTCTAAACATCACCCCAACGGACTTATGGTTTCGAGAGGGACCAAAATCACTACGCCTTATAGCCGCTACGCCGACCAGTATAAAGATAACCTCGATCGCTTTAGTCAAACTCTTTCATCCCCACGTTTCCCATAGTCATCCACAAAAGTTTGCTCAAAGAGTGTATATGGAAGTGCCCTGCTCGATACAAACTCTACCCTCGATGAAAACACCGATGCTTAAGCTAGCCAGCAATGTTGTTCGGCATGCGGATGTTCTGTCACGCTCAGCTTGACTTTTTATTAACCCTCAAAATCACCGAAAACGAACGAAAACGAAACGCTACGCCATCCTGCCCATGTGTGCCTGTCTCTCTTCGGCACCTCTCGCCGACATAAAAGCTACCTTCTGAGCGCTCTTAGTCCTCACTTCTTCACAAATGTACTCACATTTACTTCAAAATCAAAGTACAAAGACTTCATGTGTGAGCCCTCCGAAACAGACCCTTTTGTCGTAAATGGTCGTCCGTCCGCCCTGTACCCAAAACTTGGCGTACATCTTACCGGAATGGACATGGAGATGAAATATGACCGTTGCGCTCATTTGAATCGTTCATTTAATTGGAAAGCACCATCTAAAATCAACGTAAAACCCACGCCACGAGTTTTGTTTTCGAACGGTCTGGTATTGGAATGCGATGGTCGTCGTGTATGAGCAAGTGTTTCTACCGAAAAATGACAATTTCCGACGCATGTCGTTGTTTTCTCGCCCTGCCTACCTAAGAAGAAAGGACATCCTCTCTATGTCCGCTTCGGGAAAGCGGCGTGAACGAGGGTGTATAAAAAAACCTCGGTTGGCTTACCAACCTTCATTATTCTTCACACCTCTGATCCTTGTATCTTGCAAAAAGGCCAGCAATTCTTGCTATGAGAAGGATCTGCTCTCTTCCAAAAATGTCAATATTCCCGAAAGTATCACACACTATCGATCAAAATCGACACAACCGGTAGCCATGTTCTCTGCTGTTTGGAAATACTCCCACATTACCGTCTTATCTACGAAACCTGCATAAAAGGCCCAGCATGAAGTATCAGTCTATTATACGAAAAATAATACCGTTGGCTCGATTCGCTGTGCCTCGATGAAAACTACCAACCCAGGCTTGCTATGACGAGCCGTCGTTCGAGAGTGGATTGGTGCGGCTTGGTCTGGTCACTAGCAAGATTTGTGTACGATGATGAAAACGACGACATGATTCATGACCGCACCATCATGACGGTGTATTAGCAAGTAACGAATGGACGAACTTCCGTTTTGACAAGATAACATGGGGTATCATTCGTCACCAGCATCGCTTAGTACATCTGCCCGTTCTTCCCACCACTCTCCATTTCCACAATGTGATATACACAAGTCAGCATCCGTCTTTTCAGAATGCTCCAATAACGGCCAACGCTCTTTTGTTTCGACAACTTTTTGCCAAATTCTACAACGGTGGGCTCTCCGGTCGATCAATAGCCAGCGAAAGATAGTAGTCTGTAAGCGCATTCATCTCATCACCGTGTGTTGTATCGAAATCGTCCTCCCTGTCCGCATGGGTTTCTTCGCCCCACGTCTCCAAAACTGGAACATCTGGCTCCATGTGATTGTTGTGCAGATGCGGCTGCGGCTGCGGCTGCTGAACGCACTCGTACCCGAGGACGCCAATGTCCCAGATGCCCGCACAAGCTTCGCAAACGAGGATCGTCGTAGCAGGGGCGATGGGGTTCATGGAACCACAACGGAAGCAGGCGAAAGAGCAGCGCTCGCATAGAACCAAGTCGCTGGCATCAACGGGCGGGCGGGCTGGACGACCGCAATGTACGCACTTCGACTTGCCTGGTACAATGCTCTTCGTATCGATGGTCATCCACTGTCGACGTAGCTCATCAGGAATACGGTCTGCACTTCGCCCGGAATCACCAACGTCCTCGCTGGTGACTTTGTTAAGATTCTCTTTGCAGGCAGGAATATTGCACTGAGGCCCTAGCGGTGTTGTAAGACTGAGTTGGAACTGCAATGCTTGCTCACGAAGGAATGACGCGTCTACACTTTCATCGAAGGGACCGGCGTAGTTCTGGCCCTGAACGACTTGGCGAACCGGTAAACTTCCTACAGGTGCGGTCTGCAATTGCTGGGTTTCGAGCAAATATTTGCCTTCCGCGATACCAGATTCCGGTGCTAGGAGGTTGATGTTGCCAGTTTTGTGGTTCTGGATCTCATCTTGCTCATCATTCTGGTATGGCATGTAGCGTAACCTGTCTGCGTCTTTGATCGTAGTGCCATCCCTGCCAATCTCGAGAACGTCGACGGAACCGTTGACTTCGCCGACGACCAGCTTGCTGTAGTCCGCACTGAATGCACCTGACATGATACCGGAATCACACGTGATTAAGTCTTTGATAAACGTGTTCTCTTCAGCGCGTGTAACATCCCAGACCTTGACTACCCCATCCGATGAACCGGAGTAAAGCCTCGTCGCGTTTTCACCCCAAGACAAGAAACGAACGCCGGTATCTGTGATTTCATGCTTGATACCCTCCTGTAGAGGCATCAGAGACCGGCTATGAGAGAGTATTCGGAGCGGATCATCGGGCCAACGCGCATCCCAGACGTAGGCACGTCCATCTGTACAACCAACTGCGATAAGGTCTTCATCATGTGGGCACCAGATAAGATCATTTATATCTAGAGCTGCGCACTCGAATTCCAAAGGACATGTAAATTTGTCAGTTCTTATATCGTAGAGACGGACTGTCGAACGTGTGCCGCGGTTAACATTGGATCCCACTGCGACACATCCCGCTGCGAACATCGGTTTGCCAGAACGAATTGGGTTGAAGGCGACATCAAAAACATTCCTGTTAGATCCATGGATATAATAAGGAGCCTCAGTCTCGACGTCCCACAAACATAAATCGCCGGTCATGTCAAAGCCCGTCTCCTTCATATTGGCGCCAAAACCTGCAAGCAGTTGCTCACCACATATCGGTTCGAACTGCAAAGCGGTAGGAAGAATCTTGAGATCCATGCGATCGACAGCCTTGTTTGAATGGAAGCTCGATTTCTCAAACTGGCAAGGCTCTTCCTCATCGATCCTGAGCACTCTGATTGCCTTCTGACTGGATGCCTTCGCCGCTGTTGCTATCATACCAGTCTGCGTCTGATTGACTGATAAGATATCGATCTTGTCTTTGATGTTAAGCTTAGCAGCTAGAAGAGGCTGAACAGAGTCGGCATTGACGTCGGTTTTCCAAATACCAATATGTCCGTCGTAGCCTGACGAATACATGACGTGGCTGCTGTTCGAGAAGGCTACCGAGGTGACTGTTGTGTATAATTTCGGATCCTGGGATGCGAACATGGCGTGACTTGAGTTGGCACCGCTCTCAGTCTTCTTGCGTATTTTGTAGTGCTCTGCTAGCTCGTGTATTGTACCATGCATGAGGCTTCCGAAGAGTAGGTTGTTAGGTCGGTTATACTGCATAGAGTCTGGATCGTCAACAGCAACAGCACCAGCCGCAAAGTGTTCACCATCCGGTGCCCAGGCTACAGTATGGATATCACTTGAGGCCCCCGTCCAACATGCTGCTGGACCCATCGTGTCCATATACTTGTTCGTCACTTGATATGTGATAGGCTTAGACGCCGTGTGCCAGCCTCTTCTCGACTGACGACCGAGCTCTCGTTGACGTATGATAGATGTGGTCGACGGTTTCTGAATCGACTGCATCTCCGTGTTCGGCCGTGCGGCTGCAAATCGTTGTATCTGCGGTATCTCTGCGATGTTGCCGGCCATGGCATCTTGTAGGAATGCTTCAATACCGCTTCGGTCTCGGCAAGGCAGGAGTGAACGAAGACTCTCAACGAGCCGGAGAATCTGTGTATCCGTGCAGCCTTTTAAGAGTTCGCGAAGTCGCCTTGTTTTCGTACTGTGCCGCGACCTTGTGTTCCTAGTTGATGTTACAATTTTCTCTACTAGCTTGATCTCAACCGGGCTGAAGTCGACATGGAGCAGGCTGCCTTGCCAGTCTCGACTTGAGAGCTGGTCCCACTCTGAGCCGGTAGATGGACGCTGCATTGCTACGCGTTGCCCTGAAGTCAAATAGGGCACATGCATAGCGTGGGTGCCATTGCGGCGCGGGTTTGTGCAGAGGCTTAATGCAAGTGCTGCATCATCTGCATCGAATTGTACTTCCACCGGCTCGTTGTCGACAGCGACAGCCTCATTGGGCAAAGGCGCTTCATGGTCTTGCGGTGTCTCTGAACGAGTAGGAGCAGAGTCGTCCGCGATAGATCCAAGGACATCGTCGGTGTAGTCATCTACTTCATCTGCGGCAACACCCCGCTGTTTCGGCCATGTGTAATTGACTCTTTGTGCACGACGCGATCGCTCTCGACGAGGCGCAGAGTCGCCTCCTGAGGAATAATCCCGTTCTATCATCTGTTGAACGGGTAGATGTCGAGAAGGTTTCGCAGCATGTTGATGGGGAACAGTGCGCTGGTTGTTTCTTGGTCCTCTTGAGACACTAGTACCATGGATCTGATTCCAATCAACAGTCGCTTCTGCAGCCCACCGAGGGGGCAAGATCAAGGTAGATGGATCCTTTGATCTGTCTCTCTTGTTCAAGAAGGTGGAATAACGGGATTGTAGCGCAGAGTACTGACGTGTGGGCAAATCTACGTTGTACTCGGCCGTGATTTGGGCCCACGAAAACTGCTTTACCTCCTTTAGAAAGATGAGATATTGGTCCTGTTCAGCATCGAATGGGTTGACCTGCCTCTTTCGACCAGTGGATGGTGGAGGTGTAGGTACCTCCGAACCCCTCGGAAGAGCGGATGAATGGAATGGGGCTACTGCAGGCCCAAGTCCAGGAGGGGCATTTGCAGTCTTTGCTTTCGTATCCGATGCGTGTTGCAATGCAGGTTCTGTAGGCGACGAAACATCGGACATGACACTATCTTTGTCCTCGTCGGAAGGCTCCTCGGCAGTTCCCACGAAGTAGTTCGGTCTCGCGGCTGGCGAAGGGCGACTGCGCGATCGTCCTGAAACTCTACCTGATGTCACTGCACTTGTCTGTCGTGTTTCTTTGTGCGTAGTTGCGTGGCGGGGCTGTTCTCGTTGACTTGGTACATTCAGGACTGGGCTCGCACTACTATCTGCCGACTGGCGACCGATATGTAGCGTGCGTGGGGTGCTCACCCGAACATTTTGCAGTATGGTCGCAGGCTCGGTGTTCTTCAAGGCCTGGTTGATGTCTTGTACCGACGGAGGCTTGTTGGCTGCACTAGGTTCTGACATCTTCATCCTCTTGGCTGGCCTTTCGTGGTGAGTTCCATTATGCGCATGCGCATGCCCAGGCACCGACATATAGCTATTTGGTGTGGCACCATGGCGTCCCATATTTGCTACATTTGTCGCCATCGACGCGCTTCCGGTAGATGGGGGGTGTGGATGTGCGTATGTGGGTCGCGTTGTGGGAATAGGTGGCCGTGACGATGGGGGAGGTACGGGCAGATGTGGTGTCATGGAGGGGTCGTGCGTCCCCAAAGGCAGCGAGGACAACGGGCCCTCGTCGCTTTCTTGCGCATCGTCATGGTAGGTGAGGCCGACTATGGAGGGTCGCCAGTCGCTGCCGTTGCGCTTGTTAGACATGTTACTCATGGTACGTTGCGAGAGGACATGGTAGGCTAGGAAATACGAGGGGTCAATACCGAGGGAAGTACTCACTTCATTGCCGTCGGTCTGAGCGGCAAGCAACACGTCCATGAGAGTCACCGTGATTGTCGCGTTAGGTGGTTGCGAACAATCGCGTAACCGTGGACCGCGTACCCCTGCTAGCCGTGGCTTTAGCGCTGTGTGGCGTCACCCCTTCACAAGAGAGCGGAAAGCTACCGTCTTTGTGACAGCAACCTCAAATAGGATAGTATGCACATCAGACAATGCAAGCTGCGATAGAATCTCTCGATTACATAAGTAATGTAACGACCCATCTTACAACATGTCGTATGTCCAGGAAATATCACACTCACTCGCATCCGCGCCCTAATAGACCTTACTACTATCTGGACTGCCATCCACAACCTTATCTTTATCACCCCTGCCCTCAATATCCTGCCTGCTGTCTTGCACCGCCAACCCTGCAACAACAGTTTCCTCACCAGGCTCCGCGTCTGTCGGCACGGGCGGTCCGGAAAACTCCTTCCTGCCGCGGATGAAATACCACCCCACGCTAATTGCCGCGAAACCTGCAAACACTACACTCGCGTAGTTCATAGTAGCCGCCTCAACTGGCAGACTGACCGGCATACAGAAGAGTACAACTGCGAGGCAGATCCAAGCGATCATGGCGATGTTGATGGCGTAACCGAAACGGCCGAGCGAGTAGGACGAATGGCGTACAGCCTTACGGCCGCGTAGCACGGAGATGAGAATGGGCATGCCGTAGGATGTGGAAAGACAGATTGTTGCGACACCAGTGAAGGAGTTGAAGGCGGCTGAAGAGCCAAAGTAGATGAGGCCGAGGAGACAGTCGACGGCTGTGGAGAGGACGAGTGCCATGAGAGGGATATCGAAGCGCTTGTCTACCTTGGCCCACAGTCGCGAACCGGGGATTGCGCCATCGCGAGCGAAGGCGTAGGTGCAGCGCGAGGCTGCGGTCAATGCACCCGTGCCAGCGAAGAAGAGAATACCGAGGATGAGGAAGAGGAGTCCGAAGCCACCGCCTGCACTGCCAGTGACAGTCTTGAAGAGCAGGCCAATAGGTTGTCCATTGGCGACATCGAGAAGCAGTTGTACGTCGGGGAGAACGAAGAGGATGGGGATCAGGTAGATGACACCCGTGACACCGGCCGCAGCGACAGAGAGAACGATGGCCTTGGGAACTTCGCGGGATGGGTTGGAAACCTCTTCACACATGGCGGCGACCATGCCGTAACCAGTCAACGTGTAAGCAGCCTGTAGGAGACCGACGAAGAAAGCCCATCCGGATGGCCTAAAACTGAAGTCAGTATAACTGGTCCGAGATTCGGTTCGAGATGGAAGGGGCAACGTACCATCCACTCTGGCTGGCATCGTAATGCGCAAACACGAACTCGGCATCCCTCTTGTTATCCGCCATACTCAACAGCACAACCATAATAACCACCACGCTAGTTGCCGTCCAGTAGATACAAATCTTGTTAATCAGGTCCAGATACTTGGCTCCAAAAATGTTAATACTCATGCAAATAAGCATAACAGCCCAGAACGCAAGCACAGTCTGCCATTCGTTCGGCACAAAATCCTCATCCCAAAGCGTAATGGCGGACAAGATGAGTTGGCCACCCGAGAAATTGATTGAAAGCGTAACAGTCCAGTTTCCAACCAGAGTCAACCAACCGGTGACCCACGAGGCGATGGGTGCCCATTCGCGTGTCGAAAGCATGGCCGACCAGTAGTACACGCCGCCAGCCGTAGGATATACTGCACAGATTTCCGCGAGCGAAGCAGCGATAGCCAGGGAGATGAGAGAAACGAGGATCCAGCCATACAGCACGGTAACGGATTGACCATCGGTAAGCGTGATGTAGAGTGTTGTGGAAAGACCGAAAGGAACGGCCATGATGGCGAACGACATGCCGAGAACGCTCAACATGGATAGATTTCGAGGAAGCTCAGATTGGTAACCCATCTTCGCGAGAGCAGCGTCGGCGCCAGGATCGTTGACTGATGCTCGTCTTCGAACGCCATCGTCTCCTCCTCCGCTGATGGAAACACTCTTCGCCATGATTGTTTCGTTTCCCTAACGATCAATACTGTAGTGCCAAACCCGACTCTTACTGCGCGACGAATTGCGCTGCGATAAAATGGCGAAAACGACTCCAAAGCCCGGGTGTGGCAACCGACCAGTCCAGTCCAACGTTTATAAGGGCGCAACGACCGTTGATAACAGAAACGACGACGAAGGTGTGCTATTAGGGATGAGAACACGAGAAACCCAAGATAAAAGACGACAACACGCGAGTGACCCGACAAATTCCCCGCAGCTGGCAACCGCCGGCGTCAAGCCCGCCAAAGCCTAGACTAGGGTCTTGGGAGCTGGGAAACGCGCGAAATGCGACGCTGCAATCGTTCGCTCCACACCATGAGTCGGAGCGCGCCAGAAAGATAGGCGTTTGATTCGATATAGAAATCACCGACAGCATCAGACATCAAGTAAGCGCGATAAGCAACCCTTGGTGTCTGCCCACCCATCATCATTGTCCCCCATCGAACGCCTGCAGGAGTCGTGATAGCAGATTGGCGTGTACAATCAACCCTGCCAGGCGCGCATGTCACCGATCGAAGCCGCATGCGTCATCTCCGTTGTCGGGTGTGTTTGCCGGACTGGGACGGAATCGGTCGCGTGCGTTCATGTGGGGTCAAGCCCGACCAGTGCCCGACTGTCGGCAGCGCCCAGCCAGCAACAGCCCCGAGCAAAAGGCCGTTCTTCGTATCTTTTGTGGAGGGTCGAGTGGAAAGCTGGGGCCGCCCCCAGGTGGACACGTTTATCGCATCACAGCAAGTTATCACGTTTTCAAAGGATACTACGATAATGCTGCAACATGGGATAGGGTCAAGGAGAAATCTGAGATGATAATATTATAGTACAAATGTGTCCCGGAAAACGGGCTCGACTAATTGCTTAATGCTCCATCTAATGCAGGAACCAAAGCATGCCACGTCTACCTTCGTACCGAATCCCGTCATGACACTATCCCAATACATGTCGTGATCTGATCCGGCTGATAACGGCAGTCATCCATCTACCTCTGCGTAATTTCCGTTTCCATGTCTTCATCATTCTTCATAGCGTTTCTACTTCGCCATGACATCGACATAGCGACCAGCCTTTTTCTTCTTATTTGCTGGTCCCTTTCTGGCTTGAGGTGCACCCAGCAAATCATCAATACTACTGGCATTGCTCATACCAGTGCCCGGTCGTGATGGCGGCCCTGATGCAGCACCAAAGCTCGGTCTGGCTAGCACAGGTGGTTTAGGTCCAGCAGCGAAGCCTTCTTCATCAGACTCTGGGATACCTGGTGTAGAGGCACGGGAGGCAGCACCGCCCATTGGTGGTGGCATGGATGAGGAGCGAGGGTTGGATGTAGGTGGACGCAGGCCACCGGGAGGACCCATAGGCGGGGTGGGCGCGCCGCCTGAGGCACTTCGAGCTGCGCCGCCGGGAGGACCAGCGCGTGGAGGCGGTGGTGTTGCAGCGGGTTTACCCGTATCTGCCGCACCGCCCTTCTTGTTTACCCACTTGCCAAGATCCGTATCGTAGTAGAAACTGCTCTCTTCTCCCAGCTTAGCCTTAATAGGACCGGGAGCGGCGTTGGGATCTTTCTTAAACCATCCAGACAGCCATCCTCCCTTCTTCGCTGCCGCGGCTTCCTTGTCACGCTGAGCATCTGCTTCGGCCGCTTTGCGGAATGCCTCGTCTGCCTTCTTGTCTGCTTCTGACTTGGAGCTGCCGCCTCCGCTGATCTTCAGAGCTGAGGCACGAGCAGCAAGATCGTCATCGTCGTCGAGATCCATGAAAGATTTCTTCTTGGTTACTTGCTTCTCTTCCTCCTTCTTCCTATCGTCCTCATCGTCCTCATCGGGGTTGTAGGGCTGGTACGCGGGAGGCTCGAAGGTAGTTGAGGAAGGTCCATATCGATCGTATGTTAACTCATTGTCTGTAGGCTGACTCGGCTCATCGTAGCTCGCTTGCGGCTGGTAACCACCAAACGCAGGGGCTGAGGAAGAATCCTGGACCGGGGGAGTGGGCATGTAAGGACTGCCCAAGGATGGTTGGGCCGGACTGTACTCAGGACGAAGTGGAGAGTACGACTGTGCTTTGGCTTGTGTACGTGCACTCGGTGGACTCAGTTGGGTCTGCGTAGGGCTGTAGATATTGGATGTCGGCGTCATAGGCGTATAATTGTCGGATGCCGCTCGCATGCCATAGCTATCGTTTGACTCCATTGACGGTCGACCACCGGGCTCGTAACGAGACCGCTGCTGTTCTGAGGAAGACCTTGGTGCGTATGTGTTCGATGGTGCATACCTTGAGTTGCCTGGTGCTGGCGGCTGTGCGGGCACACCATAACCAGACATTGCGCCATAGAGATCCGCATTCGAATGTGAAGGCGTAAGGGAAGGGCTATCGCCGGCAATCTTAGCGAAAGGTCCAACCTCGGACCCTCCAGATTTGTTGGCCGTGTTATCCTCGTCATCCCCTGCAATGAAGCTGTTAAACTTTGACAGAAGCGAGCTTCCAACCTTGTCCATACTAGGCTTTGAAATCCACGACGAAGAACCATCCTTGGGAGACTGCGACAATCGCTTGCCCAAGTCGTCGAGATTGGCAATGAAAGCAGCGTTGTAGTAGAGAGAAGGTGCTGTTGTAGCCTTCATAGCCGCTGCAATAGCGTCGCAGTATGCCTGCGCATCGGTTCTGTACCCATTCTCGGCTAACTGATACGCATGTGCAAGTTTATAGTTTTGCAAATGCGGCATGACGAATGAGCTGGTCGGCGATGCCAACGACATTGCAAATTCGTACACTTCAGTCAGCATTATCGGCTCCAGCTCGACACCCATCTCCAAAGGATTCAGGCGGTGATCAGCGCCGATCAGTACGAGATCAGCCTGAGGATCATCGACTCCGCTAACCTTCAAAACCGAACGAGCAAAGATGAAGCAAACATGCGCAGCTTCAACACGACCGTATTGGACCAAGAGCCTTCCAAGCGAGAGTAGAGCTGATGCATCACCTTCACTGCGATTGTTCAGGATCAGCGCAACCGTCTCACGCCACTTGTCGAGGCCTTGCAGTGCGTTCTGTGTTGCACCAGCACCGTCAGCGCTCACCATCTGGAAGCCGGCACGAGCCGAAGCTGGAACCAGTTCGTCGATGCAGTCCTCATGGTTGCCAGCAAAGACTTCGTACAGTACAGCCAATGCTTGGTTGCTGCGTCCGGCTTTCTTGACTTCCTTTCGAACGAACTCTTGGACAACCTGCTTCCATATGTCTTTACTGAGAGTAGAAGACAACAACATAGCGTGGCCCCATAGTCGCTGGTCGACAGCGTGCCAGACAGCATTCTCGCGATCACCCTTGACCAGCATGCTTTGCAAGTCCTCGACGGCACGGGGGTCAACAGGTTCTGCTTGGAGGTTGGAGGTGTTGGATCTTGACCGTCCGACAATATCAGCTGCTGTGGAGTATGAACCCGCTTCATCTGATGACTCGTCACCAGCTGGTGAAAGCAGCTTCTTGACGGCAGCTTCTGCTGCAGGAATACCCTCCAGTTTCCCATCATTGTCAATGAGAACCTGCATGAGTTTCCAGAGAAGGGTGCGATCTTCCAGACGCTTGAGCTCGTCTTCACTCATAGTGTGTTCGAGTCCTGGTTCTTTCAACTGACTGTCTAGTGCTTCGATCTTGCGGCCTAGCCATGCTGATACGTCCTTCTTCTTGCCCTTGCCCTTGAGAGGGCCTGGGAACTTGGCGATGTCTTCCGGTAGAGGGAATACCTCTTTGATGCTCTGAATACGGATCTCACCAGGGTTGCTCTTCATCATCGGCGCGGACCCGCCACCTCCATACCTAGGAATTTGTTTAGGGAAGCTCGTCACAACATTACCCCCTAGACCCCAGGTGAACACAGGATGACCCTTCCACCGTTCGAGTGGATCTGCCGAACGCTCGTCTTCAGGAACGATAAAATCGTAGGTTGTGGACGCTTGCCGGCGATGAGGAATCTTGTTGACAGCACTGGAAGCGGTAGACTGGTTACCATGGATCGCAGATGGCATCATGCCATAAGGAGTCCCTGTGGACTCCAAGCTACCATAGCCGCGTACGGGCTGTTTCATGGTCTGTGTTGGAGATTGGGAGTGGGAGCGTTGCGGAACTGCTGGCTGGGCTGGCTGATATCTCGGTGCATAGCTGTCAGTCTTACGTGGTGAGCCGACTACTGATGAAGGTGTACTTCTTAGAGGCGGAGTCTCCGATCTTCCAGATGTAGGTGGCCTTGAACTAAGCATTGGCTCTGGCTCTTGCTCTTCAATCTCACTGACCTCTCCTAGCGGGCTTCTGATAGGGGGGCGGGGCATGCCATCAGCCGATTGCGAAAGTTGATGGTTTGGAGCATATTGCGCATGATTGTCAGTAACCTGCTCCTGCTGAGGCATGCTGTGGAAGGCTAGCGGACTGGAAGTACGGGGCGCAAAAGGCTGCGAGGGAGTTCGCGTTAAGTTGTTATGTGGCTCGGATTGGTAACGAGCATGCGGTGCTTGCGATGGAGCAGGCGAGTATCGCTGGTTTGCCGCTGGTGCGCTTGGGGGTGCGGGAGAATATCGTGAGTTGGCAGCGGGTCCCGATGGAGGCGGCGCTGGAGAATATCTGCTCGTTGAAGGGGGCGCCGGTGCCGGCTGAGGGACGGGAAGACTGTTTGTTCGTGTAGGTACCGATGGCTGACTGGGGAACATGGGTAACTGCTCTGGTTGTCTGAACGGAGGAGGTGTAGCGACTTTAGCAGCATCTGGAATGAACTCGTTCCTCAGGGACGACGTGGAAGCCGTACGCTCCTTTGATGGCAGCTGCGGGGGTGGATGGCTAACTGGAGGTGAAGGTTGGACAGGGACATTCGGCTGCGGGGTGTAGCGTCCAGACGGGCGTGGCTTGGATGTGACAGGCAGCTCAGCGAAGAAGTCACTCGAAGGTGACTTTGCTACGACGGCAGGCTTTGGTGGTGC